AACACGTCAACAATACCCGGACTGTCGATTGGCAACTGCAGAAGTAAAAGTTTTGGACTATGTAGTTCGTGCCGAAATGTTATAAGCATGGTCAGTCGAGTTCCGAAATAGATTGAAGGAATTGAGAGAGTTCTGTTGCGGGATACTTGCTGGATAGAAAAGATCTGTGCGGGGGAAGATGAAGAATTTCCACTGTTAGAAGCAGTTTCCAGGAAAGGGCTATTTAAAACATAGCAGGCCGAAAAACTTGGCGGGTGCTGTGATGATTTGTGAAGCGTGGAAAATCGCGATGGCGCTGTAATCACTTGTAGTTCAGAGTAGTGTGCATAGTGGTCAATAAATCGAGTCACCAATACATACCCAGGCAAACCACAATTCGTGTCAATCTAGAAGGAAGTGGTCGTGTTCTATATTAAAGTTCATATTGGGAAACTATTAGAGAGAATATAAAAATGTCTGGAAAAGAGATTCTAGGTTATTATGAACCGAAGAAGCATAAGCCATGGTTCGATGAAGGATGCTCAAAATTATTTGATCAAAGAAAGCAGGCCAAATTGCAGTGGTTACAGGATCCAAGCGAGTTAAATGGGGATACTCTGAACAATATAAGACGTGAAACCAGCAGGCATTTCAGGAGCAAAAAGAGGGAATATCTGAAAGACAAAATTGATGAGCTTGCAATGAACAGTAAGAACATTAGAGACCTGTTTAGAGGAATAAATGATTTAAGAGGGGTTACCAGCCTAGCAATAACTCAGTGAAGGATGAGAATGGTGATCTGCTTGCAGATTCCCCCAACATTTTGAATAGGTGGAGGAGCTACTTCCCTCAGTCATTGAATATACATAAGATCAGTGCTGTTAGGAAGACAGAAATCCATACAGCTGAGCCGTTAGTAAATGATCCTAGCGCTTTTGAGGATGAAAGTGCTGTTGTAAAATTGAAATATTATAAATCGCCTGGTAGTTGTCAACCCGCACAAACCCCAACAAAATCTGTAAGTAGATTCTAGAGGGATCTGAAGATGGTGGATGACACACAGAATTACTGGGTTTTTGGACTTTTTCCATCATCCGGAATTCTTGGTAATAGAGGACACTCTAGGTAATGGAGGACACGACGTTTCGGAAAATGCACCTGATTCCGTCTTTAGGTGAGAAAGGAAGACACCTACTCAGTTGGGCCCCTTAGAAAGTGATTGAGATTAGCTCTTTCTAAGGGGCCCAACTGAGTAGATGTCTTCCTTTCTCAGCTGAAAACGGAAACCGATGCAGTTTCCGAAACGTCGGGTCCTCTTTTACCCAGGGTGTCCTCTAGTACCTAGAATTTCGGACGATGGAAAAATTCCAAAAACCCAGTAAAATCTGTAAGCACTGCACTTCACTGTGAGCTGTACAGTAGAATAGGAACACTTGACAGTGCGAATAAATTTACGAAAGAAATACAGTTTCATTTAATTTTCATAGTCGTTTATGATTTTGTGCTAACAAATTTGTCGAAATGGAGTACAGCCCTTCCTGATACGGTATCGGTATCTCACTGGATCAAAAAGTTCGACTTTTAAGGGATCGAACACGGAGATTCGTTACCGTGTACACAAGAATCCACGGTTGATGCTCTTTTACGCCAGATTAATCCAGCCCGTAAACTGGGAGTTTAGCGTTTTCGGCTAAAATTACTAAGGGTGTTCCGTATATAATGCCTCCTATTTTTTAAAGAAAACTACAACAGATACAGAAATCATAATAACGCAGTTAAATAGAGCAAGATTTCAGGTACCTACAGTTATTTTTCCACATAATCACCACCTTTCCTTATGCACTTTTGCCAGCGATTAAAAAGAGCCTGTATGCCGCGCCCGTAAAAGTCTGCGCCAGCAGAGGCTAACCACTTTCTTACAGCTGCAATGACAGCATCGTTGTCTGGAAACTGTTGCCCACGTAGCCCAAAAAGATGGAAGTCTGAAGGTGCTAAATCGGGGCTATAAATTGGATGTGGTAGGACAGTCCAGCCAAACTTTGCAATGTGCGCGGTGGTGCCAAACTGGTACGGGGTCTAGCGTTATCGTGTTGCAAGCGAAAGGCTGTCTGCTTCTCTGGCCTGACTCGGGAAATACGGGATTTCAGCTTAGTCAGTGTCGTCTTGTAGCGTTCAGAATTGACAGTCCCTGGTCGTTATCTGCTGATCTGTACGGATGAGGCGCTGTTCATTGTGAGGAGTGGTAGCTGAGCAGGGACGCCCATGGCGTGGCTTGTCGTGCACTTCACATTCGCCACTGTTGAAGCGCACTACCCACCGAATCACTGTGCTGACTTCCACTGTATTGTCGCCGTACACCTATAGCAAGTGTCGATGGATATCAATGGGTACAATTTGTTCGGCAGTGAGAAATTCAATAACACATTTCTCTTTCATACGCACTTCTATGTCAGACGCCATTTTGGTAGACTGCTCTGCTGTCGCTCTATCTGTCGCACGACAACCAAATTAACAGTACATTGGCGGGAAGGTTCAACCTTTACTACAACACCACCAACATCCAGCTCAGACGTTACATATTAACACAAAAAAATAGGAGGCATTATATACGGAACGCATCATGTACGTACACAATTTTTCTCATGCTACTAAGTGTCCTGCCTATCCCATCCTCCCTGATAAATAATACGAAAACTTTAGGTAAGATAAAGTCTAGCTATCCCTGTAAGAGGCCGTGGAGGGCCATAGGTTAGTGAGACGTCGAGGAAGCTAGATTTTCTAGGCAATCGGCTCACAGATGGTGGTATGTTTGTCAGCCTTACGGGCCGGCAGACCCCACTTTACCCCCAGGAATATCCCTTGTACTCATTTCCGTTAGAGACTGAGTCGAACCCAGGCCCATAATGCTGCTGGAAAGATTGGCTCAATTTGAACCTGCGACCTTCCGGCTTGTAGAATAATGCCTCAAGCAACTATGATACAGCTTGCCCCCCCCACATTGATTTGTATGTTGTGTCCAAAAACTGCCACCTCCAAGAGACGTACGTGCTGCAGAATCCAGCATCAACAGTCATAAAACGGGACTTCCCCAAATGAAGAATAACCGCGAAACTAATGAAACCACCCCCGCCTCTTACTAATAACAGCGTTACAATAAAGGCTCAGACCAAGCTGCCCCGGGAGTAACAGCAGAACCATTAAACCCATGACGTGGACAGACAGAATGTATTCAGTGCTGCACAGTCACATAAAATATTCAAAATCTAAAACTTCATAGAAATGTTTACAATGTTAACCAACAGACAGGAAATCAACACATTATAATACAGAATTACTATAAATGATTCATTCCATTTGAAAACACATTATCGGTCGCCCTTTGTTTTTCGTTTAAAAAGACAGCCAGTATCCTTAAACTGCCGATACCACCGCAGAATGCTCTGTTTACATGGCGGTTCCTTTCTGTGCTCTGCTCTGAATACAGGCTGCACTGCAATAACACACGAATATCTCGTATATTCCAACACACAGAAACTCTTTTCCAGCTTCGTCGTCATTTTATGAGGTATTGGACTCATGCTGCCAAGCGGTGTATCACGATGCAAACTTGGTGAGCTTTCGGATCTTATCATGTAACAATGATATTTGTATGTGTTACTTTGGAAAATATAGTGATCTAAAATAGAAATAATAATTCGTAGTAATCTGTATATCCATAGCATATTCAGTTCAGATTGCCTAACTCACAGGTGGATCCACTCGCACATGTAGATTTACCCTAGTACAGTGTCTAGTAACTAAAATAAGACCTGAAGATGTCACACACGTACCGATACTTGTCATAGATAGCAACTAAACATTCAAAAATTTGCACTGTGTTGACAGCAATGCAATAAAAACTGTCTATGTACGGTGTGCTGTCAACACAGTGTTTAAAGTGGGCGTGTAGGTTATGTACTGGGTACTGCAAAGCGGAACACTGACATGATCATGATTCTTTTCTGTCCTCCACGAATTGGAGAAAACACAACGTGTAGTCCTTTAGTTTCAATGATAAAATGCCTCGATATCTGTATTATTTCACCATACATGTCTCACTTGTAACCTATTTCAGCATTACCTATAATACAGTCGGTCATCTTAACAGCGCGGTCTAAGGCATGAACAGTCTTGGCTCGCTTGGATGCTGAGATCATGGTTCGGATCCCACTCTCAGGGCATGGATGTTTGGTGTGTATGCGTTTTTCTGTGTTTGTGTTTTCCTGTATTTAAGTAGAGGCATTGCGACGGTCTGATTACTCGTCCAACGAGTTCTACCGTCTGTGAAATGATTAAAAGAATAAAACAAACCCCGACAGCCGTATAAGGGTACAAGAGGAACGGGTTAATATAAAAAAAATGTAAACTCCTATAATAATATGATCATTTACGAATACCTGTAGCGAAGCTCTTAAAATTACACTTAAGAATTTTTTAACATACAGTCATTCACCCTTTAAATAACTACATGCATTTGTTAAAATAAAACTCCGTCGAGCTGCGTGCTTCTTGGGAAGCTAGGGTACTCACGAATGTCCCAAAAATTTTAAGGAACACCAAAGCTCATTACCGTGTTAACAAGGGCAAGCCACTAGTCTCTATCATAAGCAGATTAATGCAGTCCTTATCACCCCAAATTCTTTCTCTAAGATCCATCTTAATATTATTTCCTTACCTACGTCTAAACCTTCCTAGTGGGGTATATCCTTCTGGCTCCCCCCACCAAAACCCAATATACATTCCTCTTGTCATGCGTGCTACAAATCCTCTCCATACCGGTCTCTTTGAAAACTATCCACATTGTAAGTAATATATCTCTGCACGTACGTTTACATGTCTTCATATTGCGTGTCAGTTCATTGAATGTGTTCGTTGTTTCACGAGACCCACGTTGACATTCAGTATTTAAATAACATTCATCACCTCTTGTCCTTTCCAGGGACCGCGGGAAGAACACGAAGAACCTGAGAACATACTCGTACCTTGAATCTCAACTCCCTTACTGGCGGCTTGGCATAAGGGACTCCTTGAAAAGCGAATATCTCGCGGCCCTTCCGTGACGTCAGCCGATGCCCTTTGAGACTTCCGTGTTTTAGTACAACTAAATCATCAGCTAGAACTGTGATGATAGTTGTCAGAAGACCAGCTAATCCGCATCTCATAATAACTGCTTGCTATTTAGTTGACTTCTGCGTACGAACTGAAGACGGCTCACTCGTAACTTGCGCGCGCATATAGTACTGGCGGAAAAACGTCCTCTCATGTTGCGGAAAATTACGGCAGGAAACAACGTGCAGGCGTGATTGTGTTATTTTCTTTACATGCACATTTCTTGTACATGATGCATCAAGTGAACGCATACGGGTTGAGCCCCCACCCAACTAGTTGGGGGGCGGGTTGTTCTCGTGTTATTTCTTCCACCAAATAAGAAAAACAACTGACGTAAACAGTCAATTCAATTAACATTTAATAACTGATTAAATACCTACTACCAAAAAGAAAACATCACAAAGTCAATAAAAAGTCCGTCGAGTGTAATTATTTTTTT